TGGATGCTTACCCGACTGAGCCACCCAGGCACTCCAAAGAGAATGGGTTTTATAGGTCACTCAAAGGACTTTGATATTAATCTAAGTGGGAAGGGAAGTCATCAGAAAGTGAGGGAACGGAAGAGTGACATGACTTCAGTTAGGTTTTTGTAAGATCTGGCCAATGTGTAAGGCATTGGCATAAGGGGAATAAGGGCAAAAGCAGGGAGACTAGTTATGAGGCTTTTGTATTAAAACAGGTGCAAGTTGATGGTAACTTGGGCCAGAGTGGTGAGAAGTGGTTGGATTTTAGATGGATGTTGAAAGGAAGTCTGACCGAATTTGCTGATACTATCTGGACATGAAAGAAAGTGAGCGTTTTTTTTGGCTCGAGCAATTGAAAAGATTGACATATTATTGATAAGATGAGGAATACTGTCGAGTAAGTTCAGGTGAGAAAATCAGATGTTTGGTTGGATATACCAAGTGTGAGATACCTGTCACCTGTCAACTTATCAAATTGGAGATATTTGAGTACTTTTCTGGATATTTGACCCTGGCATTTTGGGAAGAGTTTGTGGATGACTACTAAGGAAAGGTTTAAACCTTATGAGTGGTAGTGTTTGATGACTTACTTAAAAATGGATAATGATGTTTATTACTATCAAGTCTTAGAATACTTCAAATGTATTAAAATCCAGTGTTTCCTGTTCTTTTTATTTTATTTTAAGAATTTGACCTACAGCAAGAAGAAGGGGCAAAACACTTGACTGTAATAGTTTAGGGAGTTGCCTTAGTTTTTAATCCTGTGATAAATCTGAAGAAATAGGAGGGAACGTAGGTCAAGAGCTATTTTAAAAATACCAGAAAAGTTACAGCTTCTAAACATTGTTTTTTGTTTTTTTAAGGATTAGGCTTAACTTTTTCCCCCCTCAATTATCTTAGGAAATAATGAAGAAAAAATCTAGATTGGAATAGAACTAAAAGTATTAACTCTGTAAAAAATGAATGTTGTTAATACCAATTCTTCTCAAACTATTTCAAAAAATAGAAATGGAAGAAAAACTTCCAGACTCATTCTATGAGGCAAGTAGTATCTTGATTCCAAAAGCAGGCACAGATCCCACTAAAAGAATTACAGGCCAGTATGCCTGATGTACCCAGATGCAAAAAATTTTAACAAGATACTAGTAAATCAAATTCAACATTAAAAGAATTATTCACCATGATCAATTGGGATTCATTCCTGGGCTGCAGGGCTGGTTCACTATTTGCAAATCAGTCAGTGTGATACATCATATTAATAAAAGAAAGGAAAAGAATCATATGATCCTTGCAATAGATGCAGAAAAAGTATTTGACAAAATACCATATCCTTTCTTGATAAAAACCCTCAAGAAAGTAGGTATAGAAGGAACATACCATAACATCATAAAAGCCATATATAAAAGGCCCACAGCTAATATCATCCTCAATGGGGAAAAACTGAGAGCTTTTCCCCTGAGATCAGGAACAAGACAGGGATGTCCATTCTCACCACTGTTGTTTAACATAGTGTTGGAAGTCCTAGCCTCAACAATCAGACAACAGAAAGATATAAAAGCATAAAAATTGGCAAAGAAGAAGTTAAACATTCACTCTTGACAGATGACATGATACTCTACATGGAAAACCCAAAAGACTCCACCAGAAAACTGCTAGAACTGAAAAATGAATACAGCAAAGTCACAGAATATAAAATCAATGTACAGAAATTGTTTACATTTCTATACACCAATAGTGTAGCAGCAGAAAGAGAAATCAAGGAATGGATCCCTTTATAATTGCACCAAAAACTATAAAATACCTAGGAATAAACCTAACCAAAGAGATAAAAGATCTGTATGCTGAAAACTTTAGAGAGCTTATGAAAGAAATTGAAGAAGACACAAAGAAATGAAAAAACACTCTGTGCTCATGGATTGAAAGGACAAATATTGGTAAAATGTCAATACTACCCAAAGCAATCTATACATTCAGTGCAATCCCTATCAGTATAACACCAGCATTCTTCACAGAGCTGAACACACAATCCTAAAATTTACCAGAACCAGAACAGACCCTGAGTAGCCAAAGTAATGTTTTTAAAAAGAAAACCAAAGCAGGAAACATCATAATTCCACACTTTAAGCTATATTACAAAGCTGTAATCATCAAGACAGTATAGTACTGGCACAAAATCAGATACATAGATTAATAGAACAGAGTAGAGAATCCAGAAATGGACCCCACAAATGTATGGCCAACTAATCTTTGACAAAGCAGGAAAGTGTATCCAATGGAAAAAAGATAGTTTCTTCAGCAAATGGTGCTGGGAAAACTAGACAGCGACAAGTACAAGAATGAACCTGGACCACTTTCTTACACCATACACAAAAATAAACTTAAAATGGCTGAAAGACCTAAATGTGAGACAGGAAGCTATCAGAATCCTAGAGGAGAAAACAGGCAAGAACCTCTCTGACCTCGGCTGCAGTAACTTCTTGCTAGTTATGTCTCTGGATACAAGGGTAATAAAAGCAAAAATGAACTATTGGGATCGCATGAAGATAAAAAGCTTCTGCACAGCAAAGGAAACAATCAGTAAAACTGAAAGACAGCTTACAGAATGGGGGAAGATACTTGCAAACTTCCAAAATCTATACTTCCAAAATCTATAAAGACCTTATCAAACTCAACACCAAAAAACAAATAGCCCAATGAAGAAATGGGCAGAAGACATGAATAGACATTTATTCAAAAAGAATCCATATGACTAACAGACATGTGAAAAGATGCTCAACATCACTCGTCATCAGAGAAATACAAATCAGAACCGTAATGAGATACCACCTCACACCTGTCAGAATGGTTAAAACTAACAACACAGGAAACAACAGATGTTGGCAAGGGTAGAGAAAGGGGAACCCTTTGATACTGGTGCAGCCACTCTGGAAAACAGTATGGAGATTCCTGAAAAAATTAAAAATAGAGCTACCCTACGACCCAGCAATTGCACTACTAGACATTCAGGATGAATACAAAAATGGTGATTCGAAGGGTACATGCACCCCAATGTTTATAACAGCTGTATCAACAATAGCCAAATTATGTAAAGATAATGCACCCCAATGTCCATTGACTGATAAATGGATAAAGAAGAGATATATATATACACACATAACACACACACATATACATACAATGGAATACTACTCAGTGATCAAAAAAGAAGGACATTTTGCCATTTACAGCAACATGGATGGAACTGGAGTGTATTATGCTAAGTGAAATAACTCAGAGAAAGACAAATATATGAATTAACTCATGTGGAATTTAAGAAACACAACAGATGAACATTGATGAAGGAAAGGAGAAATAAGGTAAAAACAGAGAAGGGGGCAAACCATAAGAGAGTCTTAAATACAGAGAACAAACTGAGGGTTGCTGGAAGGGAAGTGGGTCAGGGGATGGGCTACATGGGTGATGGGCATTAAGGAAGGCACTTGTTGAGATGAGCACTGGGTGTTAAATTTAAGTGATGAATCACTGGGTTCTGCTCCTGAAACCAATACCACACTTTATGTTAACTAACTAGAATATAAATAAATAAATTTAAAAAAAAATGGAAGTTTTTGATTCATTTTCCATAGTTTATTTTTGAGGTATGAATAATAGTTTTTTTTCATTTGTTTATTTAAAATAAAATTTATATTTAGGGTATTTGACATTTCATATGCTTTTTTAAGTTTGCTAGCTAACTGAAGAAGAAATTAATTTTGGTGAAATTTGGTACATTACTAAAGGTGTATATCTCATATAAAAAAAAGAGAGGGTGGCAAACCATAAGAGACTCTTAACTATAGAGGACAAACTGAGGGATGCTGGAGGGGAGGTGGACTGGGGATGGGCTAAATGAGTGATGGGTATTAAGGAAGGCACTGGTTGTGATGAGCAGTGGGTGTTATATGTAAGTGATGAATCACTGAATTGTACTCCTGAAAACAGTATTACAGTATATGTTAACCAACTAGAATTTAAATAAAAACTTGAAAAAATAAAAATAAACCACAGTGTAAGCTACTATAATGAAAGTTAATAACAGTTCTCCATAGTTCTTCTAACTGATCATATCTAATTTAATTGTCCTTCAGTTGAATTTGATAGGGAGAAAAATGGATAAAGGTTAAGAAAAGCACTCTCAAAAAAACAAACAAAACCCTAAAAACCACTTGTATAACATAAGAAAAGAGCATACAAAAGAAAACACTGACTATGGTACCTTTTTCCTGACCATCTTTGGTTGACCTGTGATGCAGTGTCTTAGATTATTTCTTCAGGAGAAACAAGTGCTTCATTAATCTCTTTTGTAGTTGGATTTATTAATTACTCTTGTTACTTATGTTTATGGTAATTATATCTTTTATTTGAGAAGATTATTATTTGAAGTTTCCAGTTTATAAGATCTTGGTTTTAGTATTGTGTAGTTTTTAAAAATAAACTAGTTTTTATGAAAAGTCTTAGTTTCTATGAGGTAAAAATTTAAATACTAATGTGATGTTTAAATGCATCATGCTTTGAACATTTTACTATTTATATTTTACTGTAATTTTATTGTTAGGATAAAGTTTTACTTTTAGTCTGTAAATGGCACTTTGCTATTATTCTTAGCATGAAGTCTTTAAATTCTGTCATTACACAGAATTTAGAAATTCAGGTTGTTTTAGAATGCTAAATTGAAGTATTATAGTAACATCAGCTTTTTTCTTTCTCTTTCTGTTATTTTATATACTTTAAAAACTTTTATATGTTTATATATTTTTATGAATTATGTGTTATATAAATTAAATATATATTTTTAAAAATTTAAGATTCTCTTTATCATAGAATTCTGTTTAAAATAAATTGAGTTAGTTTAGCTGTGAATGATTTTAATAAAACCTTTGACTAAAGCTTTTAAAAAGTTGACTAAAAACCTTTTTTTTTGTAACTGGTATCTTTAGATCCAAAGGCAGAAACCAGATTATACATCACAGTCAATGACTTTGAATTTCATGTCTATAATCGTTCGGATCTTTATGGACGTCTTCAAGAATTGTTTGGTTTGGAACCAACAATAATTCCACCCAAGAAAGAGGATGATAAATCACGGGAAAATGGAAGAACAAGAGCCCAGTCTAAAATTGAAAGGTTCATTGTCACACTTGAATTTTATTGATCTCTAACATTTAATCATTTGCTTTTATTAGAATATCACTGATGCTACTCACCTAAACATAGCCTAATCTTTTTTTGTAGTTTGACTAAGACTTGTATTTACAAATAATTCTACAATTCTTTTATAAGTTCAAATATTACAGAATTATATAATATAAAAAGCAGTCCTTTTCTGCTTTACTAGTGCTATTTTTCTCCACATTGATGACTGTTGTTATCCATTTGGTTTTTTTCCTTTTGAATGCATGCACATGAATATATACACATGTATATACATTTAAGGTGCATATACAAATATATGATTTTGTTTCATCTGTTTCCGGGCTTTCTAAGCTGTTACATTGACCTATGTGTCTATTTTTTCACCAGTACCACACTGTCTTGATTGCTGTAGTTTCTTTTTTTTTTTTTATTGTTTCGTTACTTTATATACGTGTCAAAGTTTACCAAATTGTTAACTTTGTTAATTGTTAGATAAGTGCATTTTTTTGCATGTCATTTATACAAATTATAATTTAACAGAGCTTTGAGAAGTGGTCTAAAATATAAGCCCAGATATCCTTCTTTTCTTAGGAAATTAGGTTGGCATTGATCACTGTAGTTTTAAGCGAAGTCTTGAAGTCAGGTAGTGTTAGTCCTCCAACTTTGTTGTTTTCCTTCAATGGTGTGTTGGCTATTCTGGGTCTTTTGCTTCTCTATGTAAACTTTAGGATCAATTTGTTAATATCCATAAAGCAACTTTCTGGGATTTCAGTTGGGATTGTATTGAATCTGTAGATCAAGTTGGGAAGGACTAACATCCTGATCATATTGAGTCTTCCTATCGATTAACATGGGATATCACTCCATTTATTTGATTCTTTGATATCTTTCGTCAGAGTTTTATAGTTTTCCTTATGTACATCTTTTCTATATATTGTTAAATTTATATGTAAGTATTTCATTTTGTGGGTGCTAGTGCAAATGGTATTGTGTTTTAAATATCAAATTTCAGGGGCGCCTGGGTGGCTCAGTCGGTTGGGCGGCTGACTTTGGCTCAGGTCATGATCTCACAGCTTGTGAGTTCGAGCTCCACATCGGTCTCTATGCTGACAGCTCAGAGCCCGGAGCCTGCTTTGGATTCTGTGTCTCCCTCTCTCTACCCCTCCCACACTCACGCTCTGTCTCTCTCTCTCTCTTTCAAAAATAAACATTAAACAAATTTTTTTTAAATATCAAATTTCACTTGTTCATTGCTGGTATATAGGAAAGTGATGGACTTTTGTATAATATTAACTTTGAATTCCACAACATTGCTATTAATTGCTTATTGTTTCCAGGAGTCTTTTTGTCAGTTCTTTCAGATAGTCTATACAGATTGTGTCAGATTGTGTCATCTGCAAACATAGAAAGTCTTATTTCTTCCTTTCCTACCTCAATCTACTCCAGCCTCAGTAAACAACTTCTGTGTTGCATATGTTTCTTCTCTATGGAAGACTCTTGATATTCTTTGCCTAACTCATTCACCCTTCATGTCCCAGTTGCCTCTGACCCTTCTTTGTGTGCCCACCGAATTCTGTTGTTCCCTATGGTAACACTTCTTGCACTAAAATTGCCTCTTAACTATTCTTACTCCTATTCTAGGCTACAAATTCCCTCAAAATAGAACAGTTGTCATATTCTCAATATCCCCAGTCTCAGCTCAGTGCCTGGGACAGAATATCCATTAAATATATAATTGAGAATAAATGCCCTCATCTACTTAAAAAACTATTACGTATGCAAGGCTATCTCAGCATTCAAAAATCAACAGGCTAAAAATGAAAAATCAAATGATCATATCAATAGATGCAGAAGAAGTATGTTACAAAATCCAGCCCCCATTCATGATTAAAATCTCACTGTAAACTAGGAATAGAGAACTTCTTTGACTTGATAAAGAATATCTACAGAAACCCTACAGTCAACAATAGACTTAATGGTGAGAAACTAGAAACTTTCCCACTAACATCAGGTACAAAGCAAGGATGTTCCCTCTCACCACTCTTTTCCACTCCTAAGTACTACCTATTGCAATAAGAAAATGAAATAAAAGTTATACATTTTGAGAAGGAAGAAAGATGTGACAATTCAGGGAAAAGATTATCATCAATTGGGTTGGTAACAAGAAGGCAGAAAGGTGGAGGGATTCCATATATACTTAGGTAAATGAATGTGTTAGACAGTGATAGATTAGATGTGCAGAATGAGTAAGAAGGAGGAGTCAGTAATGAATCCAGCTTATAATTTAATCAGTGGTCATACTCAGGGAACCTTAGAGAAAGAAGTTAGAGGGGAAGGTGGTGGGGTCCGTTTCAAATTTAGTTTTAGGTACTGAGCACTACCTTAGTGGAGATGGCTTCAGAAGTGTGATTTAGGAGTTACTGGGTTATTGAAGAGATACGCCTTGAGTTCTCATCTGAAATCTTTAGTGATTTGTTGTGAAATTTGGTATCTTAAACTTTTTGTACTTTGTGAGCGGCCACTTTCTTTTCCTTATTGTTGGCCTATCATTTTCATTTAATTAAATTAAATTAATTAATTAATTAATTAATTTATTTATTTATTTATTATTTGATGTTTATTTATTTTTGAGAGAGAGCACGAGCATGGGAGGGTATAATAGCAAGGTATAATAACAAAACTGTTTTTAGAGTGACAAGTTTTAATGACAAGTATAAATTATGATATGCTCTCATTACATTAATCATTATACTCATTGTATTACAACATGACATAAGACAACCTGAATTATTATTTTTTAAGGCAACTTAAATTATCAAAACGTGGTATATCATAGAGTGCATTCCAAGAGCTATTTAAAGATATTAGTATTGTTAGATGCTGTCATTATTTTGTTTACTGGAGTAGTCGTTAGATGTATTTGGAAAGTTACAGCTGGTACTAATGTGTATTGTGAAGAAGCCAAGTGTATTCTTGGCTATTTAAGTTTTTCTTATGTGTGTCAATTTATTTTTTTTCCTCAGAGTTAAAGTAAAAACAGAATCTCAAGACCCCACATCTTCATGGAGATCACTCATTCCAGTTATAAAAGTCAATGTGAGCACAGTAAGTAAATTCTGCTGCAATGAATGTTTGGTGGGTTAATAACAGAGCCTCTTATTTTTGCAAAAAAAATTTTCACTTAAGAAAATAAAGTAATTTTTAGAGTTGTTTTGGTTCCAAAGTTCTTAAAGTGTGAAAGAATTATTTTAACACCAGTACTATCATAGCACAAATTTATTAGGTTGTTAGGGCTATTTATTCAAAAGTACTTAAATTTCTTTAAACACTAGTCTAAATTGATCAGTGGGGTAGTCTGAATAGTATATAGTGCTAAAGTGGAATCGTTTAGTTCTTGTTTGAAATGTCTGTTATTAGGTCAATGAAGGAAAAAATATGGCCTGTATATTATGTCATAATATCTCTTGTCTACTTTTTAGGGACGTTTGGCCTTTGGAAATCATTACCAACCTCAAACTCTATGTATCAACTTTGATGATGCTTTCTTAACTTATACTACAAAACCACCTTCCAGTCATCTTGACCAATTTATGCATATTGTGAAAGGAAAGCTTGAAAATGTTCGAGTCATGCTTGTTCCCAGTCCAAGATATGTTGGTCTTCAAAATGATGAGTAAGAAAGTTATAAAAACTTATTTATATCTAATGTAGATATCAGAATCTTTAGCATTCTTTTAAGTTTTTTTGGTACAAATTGGGCAATAATTGGGTATATTCTCTGTTAAATCAGCAGTGTAATTTTACTTTATAAGATGAATGGATATACTCTTCATTGATGAACTCTAATTTTAAATATTTTGGTAAAAGATAATACCTATAATGGTACCTTTCTCCTTCTCACTGTATTTGGGAAACTTATTTTGGGCAATTACGCCTACATGTTTGTATGTTAGAAAATATACATTACAGGTATATTTGTATTTCCAGAAGGGATGAATTAATAGTATATTCAACCAATGCAGTATAGTGGAGTACTATTTTGAGTTAATGAAAAGTTGAAAATTGAATCCAAATTACTCTTGGAAAACTGACAGTTTTAGAACTCACTTAACAGGTAAGTTCTGGTCAGTTTTCTGTCTAGCTTTTCATATTTGTTTTGTCATCAGTGAAGTAGTTGTTTCACATTGTATGAATGATACCCACTAGACACATTGTGTGAAGGATGCATGCTAGACTCACCTTCATTGTGGTGGGATGCTTTCATATGATTGGAATGGAACTCTGAAGAAACAGCAGACACATTACTCTCATCTAACTCCAGGCCACAGGCTCATGGGGGGATAAGAGCTCTCATGTCTTTATGTCATTATCAATCTCTGTTCTTTTTTGTGATGGAGGCTCCGTGGTTGCATTTGTGTAATTTATATGTGTATATAATGGGTTTCTACTATGTCGCAGCTTTTATCTTTGTAGGCAATATAAAGTTTATGAAGTTATAAGAAGCATGATTATTCCTTCTTAGTTCTAACTTTTGGCTAGCTTGCTATTAGATTTTCTGGGGATTGGGTAGAATGCTGGAGAGGTTTTCCTTACTTTAGTACCAGGGAGGCTTTGTGTTTAGCTCATCTCACTCTTCATAATCACAGATTTTGCTAAACATCTTGTAGAATGTGGGCTGTGTACACATTTCTATATTTATGGGTAAAAATTATAATATTGAATAAATCGGAATTTTGTGAAGATTACAAGAGTAAGATAAAAGAAGTTTTGCTATTAATTTTTGTAAAAAGATTTAAAATTGTAGTTTTCACTCTTCAGAAGTAAGTGTGGAGATTAAATGATGATATTAAACATTAACTTTTGTCATTTAATACATATTCTTAAAGTTTGAGAGACAGTGAGTCTGCACATGAGTGGGGGAGGAGCAGAAAGAGAGGGAGAGAGAGAATCCCAATAGGCTCTGCACTGTCAGCATGGAGCCTGACACGGGGCTGTATCCCACGAACCGCCACAAACTGAGAGATCATGTCCAGAGCCGAAATCAAGAGTCAGACCTTAACTGATGAGCTACCCAGGTGCCCCCATTTAATACATACTTAGAAGAAGATTGCTGAATTTGTGTATATCATCTGATGACTGAGAAGTTAATTTTGCTATGGAAGGAAGATATGGTGGTGTATGGATGACAAAGAGAAGGATTGCTGAATCAAAGCAAATAAAAATTAGTAGTTTGTGAGAAAGTGATTGTAGAGAGACATTCATTCCAGTATGTTTTCAAGTTGATCAACTAAATATTCTTGGAAATAGATCATATAAAGTTGTTAAAAATAAAAATGACAACATTTTTTAATTTAATATTTCTGAAAGATTAAAGTTTATTTTACAAATATATAAAATATTTCTTATTCAGTTGTAAGGTATTATTAATATAAAATGGTTGAATTTTAAGTTTAATTGTAAATTTTTATTGCAAATGCAGAATATAATTATTCTCATGATTGTTCTTCTATTGTATTTAATTAAACTTTGTTTAAATTGATTTCTCTCATTTAAAACTTAAAAAATGTAAAAATTTTTTTTTCTTTCTGAAACTAATATATTGACTAAAAATTTTTCAGTACCACTTTATTATTTAGTCTAACATGGAATATTCTTTAGTCTAGCTATGGAATACTTAATTGTCCATGTGAAAGATGTTTACCCTTTTCAAGATGCTACAGTTGATTACTTTTTAGATTTTTTTCTCTGTTTTCTCCTATTACTACCATAATTAGAATACTGAACATTTTATATTCTGGAGATGTACTTAGTTTGCCTTCTCCCCTCCTTCTTCTAGGCCACCAAGATTAATGGGAGAAGGTTTTGTGGTGATGCAGTCAAATGATGTTGACATCTACTATTACATGGATGAACCAGGTATTACTCTTCTAAAGTGTGTTTCGTAGCTACAATTCTCTTTCTTCTATGAAATATTGATATTGAATAATGATGTCTTAAGTCTCCTTAGTTACGATAAAATAAATATCAATAAATGGTAAATGTGGATGTAAGAATGCTTACCTAAAGAATGTCTGTGTCATTTGTCAAAAATTGAATATTTATTTCAGACCAAAGGAGAACAATCTAAGAATCTTTAGTTCAATTCTGGTTTTACAAGTATACCTCAAAAATTGTGAATGTAAATGACCTTGGGTGAAAACCTTTAGAGAATGTGGTGACAGTTAAGGTAGTTTACACTGCTTAAGAAAAAAAATCATAGTATATTAGATTTGAGGCTTGAAGTTTAAGGATTGAAATCTAGCTGGTTAGAGTACTTCACAGGTGGTTTGAGTTTTATAAAAGTAGCTAAACATTAGATTTTTACCTGTTTTTACCTACTTCTGGCCTTTTTATGCCTTTCATGGGATTTGTGAGGTCAGGGTATTTTCAAAATGAAACTAGAATGTTATTTGCCTTTTTCACCATATTGACACTGTTGGTACAAAAGCAATAATGGGTAAGCTGATGGTACTTTAGCATGTACTGTTAATCACTGTCTTTTTCACTGCCACACATTTATAGTAGAACAACAAATCCCAGTATCACTTTAAAATGTCTTTGATTAAGCAGTAATAATTATTTTTATCAAATCTTGACCCTTGAGTAATCTTTTCAATATTTGGTGCGATAAAATGGCAAGTACATATAATGCAAATGCACAGTATACCAAAGTATACTGATGTTTGGAGGAAAAGCACTTGGATAGTTGAGTTCTAACCCACACTATTTGCTCTTTTCATGGAGCACTGGTTTCACTTGAAGGAGCAGCTAGGGACAAACTATGATTTTGAGTTTTCATATAAAAATTAGAATTTTAGAAAATTTAGAAAATTTGGAAAATTTTAGAAAATTTAGAAAATCCTGCCACTGTGAGTGGGAGGATTTTTCTGATGAGACCAACAGTGATATTAACAAATTGATTTTTAAAATGTTTAATAATGAAGTTTATCAATATTTGGGAAACATATATCTCTGTGAACCAGTATTTTCCAAATGCATGATATTACAAAGTCATGCCATGGTTAAAAGATCTATTCAAAGTATAAGAGAGATAAGTAAATTTTAATGTATCAGGGTACAAAAAATGCAGTGATAGGGTTTCAGATTCCACATTGCAACTAACTTGTAAGAAACTACCACATGCTGAGTTTTGGTGTAGTGTCAGAGAAGAATACCCAAAATTATCTGCAAAAGCTATTAAAATACCTATTTGTTTGAGGCTAGGTTTTCTTTATATCCTTGAACAACAGATTAAATACAGAAGCAGCTATGCGAATTCACTTATTTTCTATTAAGCTTGACGTTAAAGAGATTTGCCAAAATAAAAACAATGCCAACACTTATTACCAAATTAATTTGTTTTTGAAAATATGGTTATTTTTCATTAAAAAGTATTTTCATTAAAAATGGAATTAAAATTTCATTTTTAAAAAAATTTTTCATATTCTCATTAAATTTTATTAAGCATTTCATTATTAACATGTAGTTAGTTTAGTTTTATTAAACATGTCAACATGCAGTGAGTTGTTTGTTACTTTAAAAGTAAAGTTTATAAAAATTGCTCAATTTCAATTTTGTTTTTTTTTTTTTAAATTTTTTTTTTCAACGTTTATTTATTTTTGGGACAGAGAGAGACAGAGCATGAACGGGGGAGGGGCAGAGAGAGAGGGAGACACAGAATCGGAAACAGGCTCCAGGCTCCGAGCCATCAGCCCAGAGCCCGACGCGAGGCTCGAACTCACGGACTGCGAGATCGTGACCTGGCTGAAGTCGGACGCTTAACCGACTGCGCCACCCAGGCGCCCCGCTCAATTTCAATTTTGAATGCAGTAAATTTTGATAGAGATAACACCAAAAAACCCCACTTTGCATCTTCAGTAATTTTATGACTGTAAAGAATTACTGAGATCAAAAAATTTTTAGAACTCTTGATCTAGGGAATCTTTTAACAGTAATTTTAAGTAATTGCCTCTATATTGTGTATTCTGCAATACAGGACTTGTTCCAGAAGAAACAGAAGAAAATACTGAAGGAGAAATGAGCAGTGAGGATTGCAAATTACAAGATTTGCCTCCATGTTGGGGATTGGATATAGTTTGTGGTAAAGGAACAGATTTCAACTATGGGCCATGGGCCGATAGGCAGAGGTACTTGAGTAAATTATATTTATAGTCAGTCTTTAAGTGTATTAAGACAACACTATAATTTTTATAAAAAGTAGCTTAATATTTTTATAAGATATTTTATTATGGCAGGGTAAGGTATCACTGAACATTTTAATTCAAATTATAACTTTTTTGTAGAGAAATTGGCATAAGCAAATTCATTCTAAAGGCGGGGCTAATTCATTAGAAAAATGGTGAATGAAGAGCATATTTATTGATTCCTATGTTTTGTCTTTTGTGTATAATCAATGAATATGCCTGGAGTTGTTGGGGCTGTGGAGATTCAGAGATAAAAGACATCTATCATTCAGTTGTAGTGAGGAAAAAGAAACGGAAGTGTTCTATTAAGTGCTGTAAGAGAGGTAAAGGAAAAACCTCAATGAAGAACTTAGAAAGGTACTGTACTAGTTTGCCAAGACTGCCGTGACAAAGTACCACAGACTGTGTGGTTTAAACAACAGACATTATTCACAGTTTTGGAGGTTAGACTTCTTAGATCAAAGTGTTGGTAGATTTGGTTCCTTCTGAGGGTGGCTGTGAGGAAAGAGTGCATTCAAGGCTTTTCTCCTTGGCTTGTTGATGGCCATCTTCTCTCTGGCCTTCCCATGGTCTTCCCTTTTGTATGTCTTGTAGGCCTCCCTGTCCACATTTCCTTGTCTTAGAAGAACCCCAGTCATATTGGATTAGGGCCCACCGTTATGGCCTCATTTTAACTTAATTACTCTCTAAAGATCCTATCTCCAAACATTAAATTCTCAAGTCCTCAAGATTGGAACTTCAACATATGAATTTTTAGGGGACATAGTTCTTCCCGTAACAGATACATAATTCATCAGAGGAGAGAAGAATTGGGGAAGACTTTTTAGTAGAGGTAACATGTAAGTTGAATTTTGAAACCTAAGTAGGAGTGAGCCAAGAAAGGAAGAGGAGTACAAATAATGGAGGCAAAAGAAGAGTTCTGCAAATGCATGATGACAGTGGAGATTTGTCTTAAAGTTAGGAGATTTGTAGATAGTTAAGATATAGAAATTTTATAGTAGAGGTAATGGACAGTGTCTGAAAATTTTTTTTATGTTTTATTCATTCTATTAATTTTGAAGTAATTCTAATTTTGATATTTTTTGTACCTAAGGAAGAATTTTAAGCAAAGAAGGGGACATTTACCACTAATTATGAAGGAACATGTAAATTTTTATATAAATAGACATTGCCTAAAGTTAGTTTTTTTGTTCATAAATTAGCTTGAATGGAGAAATACAAGGTAAATTGTTCACTGAAGCAGGTATTACTGGGCCATTGATGGACTAATGAAGAGTGCTGATAGTGACTTGATAATACTGACTCTTTTAATACTTGTTTTAAAAAATGCTTTCTACCCAGCACTGTTAGAAGAAGTATATACTTGTTAACTGGAATGTTCTGTTAATCTTGGTATCTCTAGTATGTAGGAATATCTGCCCCATTAAATATGGGTAATATGCTAATACAGTACTTCATTGAGTTCTGGGTTAGGTTATTTGTTAGACTTGAAAGTAAACAACTTAAAATTTCAGGTTAGAAAACAAATGCTTTTCAAATTACTGGATTAAAATTTTCCTTTTATGATAAGGTTTTTCCTGTATTACGGGAAAAATACAGCCATGCTGTATATACAGTAGAATAGTTGGAAATTAGGGTTTTTACATCCCATTAAGTAACAGTTACAAAATGTTATATTTGAAAGGAAAAAATTAAAAATCACTGTTTCTTAATGCAGATACATAAAATATTTTTGCATTTCTAAGACTTCAATAAAGTGTGATTATTTTTAAATTATATTAATTTTATTACATTAAAAAATATTAGAATATATTTACATGAAAATCCAAACAAATTCTTTTACTGTATAACCGTATTCACTTCTGAGGTGATCTTTGTATTACATAGAGAAATGACAATGAAGTTAATATAAAAGAAAAATTTGCTTTATGAACTGTTTTCAGTCGATCTTGCCATGCTAGGAGAGAACAGCAATACCTTTTTTAATCTGGACTTAGCAAAATATCCATGTTTATTTAAAAAACAGAAAAGAAAAAAGAAAAGTTATTGTAATACTTTGCTTCTCACTTACATGTACAAATGGTGCATTTCCTCAATTGTAGCCATTTCCTTTTCTTCTTCCCCATTTTGAGTTTCTATATAAATATGAATTATAATCAGAAGTGAATAGTATGCTAAGACGTAAGAAATTTAGGAAGAAATCTTAACTACTTTGCTATTGGATGGTTCCCTCAGTTTTGTGAAGTTTTTGATTTCTGATGTAGAATGACTTTTTAGCTTGTAGATTTTGACTTCATTTCTACCACCTTTACATGATTTTCTGAATCTAAGATATTCAGCTTTTCCTTCATGATATTTTCTTAGAGTTTTCATGACAGAGTTTTTATGAGATTTGTACTTAATCCTTAGATGATAATTACAATAATGCAAACATTCCTGACATTGTCTAGTTTCTTACTGCTTTCACGTAAGTACTTTCATTATATTTTCACAATTGATTCTCATAACCGAGTGAGGTACACAGGACAGGTATGGTAAACTTATTATACCTTTGAGAAAATGGAGATGCAGAGAGGTTCAGTGATTTGGGCAAGATGATGCTATAACATCTAGAGCTGAGATTCAAACCAACCCTTTAAGTCCACTGTTCTTTTCATTATATCCTGCTACCCACCAAATAGTCCATTTTCATCTAATGATCATATTGAATTTTTTTTTGTCTTTTTTGTCTTTAATAGTCTTAGTTTTATATATCTGTGTGTTGTAGCCAAAACATTTGCAGGGCTTTATTTTCTTTTCACACACACTTACTTAATCATGGCAAGTTAATAGTCTATGATGGGTGAGTTTGAAAATTTTGTTCTGTTCATCTAATTTTTCCCAATCTTATTTATTCCAAGTAGCATTTTCTGTTACTGGCAACTCTGTTTTCAACCCTTCCTGTTTAAAATCCATAAACTGGCACCTTCTCTGAATCATGAATAACATTACATAATTTTGACTGACATAGGAGACTGAAATGGAAATTCTTTGGGTTCTTTCATCTTTGTTAAATAATGAGGGGAGGCAAATGCATTAGAGCTTAGCTTCTTTACTTTTTAGAGATCTATTGCTCTGTAGACTCTTACTGATAGCATATTGATTAAAAAATAATGATTATGAGGGGCGTCTGGGTGGCTCAGTCGGTTGAGCATCGACTTTGGCTCAGGTCATGATCTCATGGTTTGTGAGTCCAAGCCCCACATCAAGCTCACTGCTGTCAGTCGGAGCCTGCTTTGGATCCTCTGTCCCCCTCTCTCTCTGACCTTCTCCTGCTTGCACCTTCTCTCTCAAAAATAAGTAAAAGCATTAAAAAAATTTTTAAAAATGATTATGAAAATAATAGAAATAATAGCCATTTTTTCCGTCATCATGTACTGCCAAGTCTTTTCCATGTATGCTGTCATTTAATCATCAGATCTATTCTGTGACGCCAGTTATTCCTATTTTATAGACAAGAAAGCAGGTCAAGTGTCCTCAGAAGGGTGAAGTAACTTAACCAGAGTGGAATAATGACTCCAATTACACCATCCTCCTTCAGTTCTTTCTTTGCCTTTTGGATGATTGATATACTTGTAGAAAGAAATTAAAAGTCTTTAATTTCTCACAGAATACTTGAATAGTGAATAGTGCAAATTTGTTCTTGTCTAGATTCATTTGACAATAGTATATTAAGTACTCAAAGCTTGTTGCTTTCTGGAAGTATAAAACATTGGAGAAAACAGTCTTTTGATTTTTAATGAACAGAAATTAGAGTAGGTTTCTTTTGTGACTTAATTTTTTTTCTATTTCATGTCCAATTGTTAAATGAGATAGCAATGATAGTACAAAGTTAAAATACTGATATTGCACCCTTATAAATGTAATTTTGCTTGAATAACAAGTTATTCTTTCTACCTTCTTATATAGAGATTGTTTATGGAAGTTTTTCTTCCCACCTGATTATCAAGTTCTGAAAGTTTCTGAAATTGCACAGCCTGGGAGACCACGACAGATTCTTGCTTTTGAACTGCGAATGAATATTATTGCAGATGCTACAATTGATTTGCTATTTACCAAAAATAGGGTAATTATTGAAATAATATACTAGAAAATAGTGTCTAAAATTTGAACATTATTTCCTAGGGTCTTTTTCTTGTGACTAGTTCTATACTTAGATTCATTTCTATGAGCTCCTACCACCTTCCCCCTGCAATAATTATACGTATTGCTTTCATTAAGTGCCAAAAGTAGAAAAAATTAGTAATAGACCTTCCTTCTGTAGTCTCGTTCATTTTCTCCCTTTACTCCTGGCCAAATTACTTTAGTGTATTTTTGGTAAAACTTTGAACTTTTGTTCTTAGGAACTTTTAATACCTATTTAATATTGATGATTATATTTTGTCTGTGATAATAATTGAAAAGGAAAAATGGGAGTATAATTAGTGAGAAAATAATTGTTTTATGTGAATTAATTTTTTTCTTTTGGTAGGAAACAAATGCTGTACATGTAAATGTAGGAGCTGGGTCATATTTAGAAATTAATATTCCAATGACAGTTGAGGAAAACGGTAAGCTGAAATGATTACTTTTCTATTTTAAATGATTAATAGAGGAATAATTAATATATAAATAATAGTTTGCTAGCCTATTTAGACTAACATTAATGGGGTTTTCTTTTTCAGCTTTCTATTACATTTACTTAACAGTACATATTACATAATTAAATTATTTGTGCACCGAGAGAGAAGGGAAAAAAATTTTAATTAAGTTAGGTCTTATGCTTTCATTATACCCTATACTTCTATTTTGTAAGACTTGGCATAATTTGTTTAACATATGTTTTCCCTATTAGTCTGTTGCTCTGTGAGAGCAAGTGCTGTGTCTTTTTTTTAAACTGATGCAAATTGGGTGCTGAACCCAGTACCTGACACATGGTATGTGGGCAGTACTTGATTGAATGACTGATAGGTTTTGTTTTAGGTTACACTGTTCATAGATTTTGTTAGAGAGTAAACCTGGTACTTTGAACAATATAGCTTTAAAAAGCAGGACATTTCATATTTAAAACACTAAATAATACTCTGATTGATATAGTTTTAGCTGACCTAATCTAAATTCATTATGCATTTGAAATTTGGACTCTGATACAAGTTAATAATGTGATTAGATACATTTTGTTAAATTTTTCAAAATATTATAAAGGCTTCTTCATTTTTTCTTCCTCTTCCTATCCTTTTGTTGTATTTGTAGTTGAGAGTAATTAAAATGAAATTATGCTTTATTTATTCACTTCCTTCAGAGTATAGAGAATAGCAGCTTACCCATATTTTGAAGTCACTAATCAACAATGTTACTATGGCTAAGTATAATTAGAGTAATTTTTGTATCATTCCTGGCTCTCTTTACTTGTTTCTGTCAACTTTTTTTTGTTGCTGGTGTAAGAAAAAGGCTGGTAGAAGTTAACTACATTTATTAGCTTTCATATACAGGTAGTAATTGCGTCTGCCTGCTTAGATAATCAGTTGTGAAACGGTGACTGAGAATGGCATGGTGTATCTTTTCCCTGTAACTTTGAGGCTATTTAAATGAAGAGTTAAACCTTACATTTGCTAGTTTTTAAAAGAGTAATCATACTGAGTCTTGAGATTCTTGTCAGATGCTTGAGATTCTCTAGGACTGGTTGATTGAGAGTAGTGCATTGGAAAAAACATCTTTAGGCTACTCTTAATTACAGATACATATTAGGAGGAAAAAGACAGTTGGCATTTGCACAAAGTTGAGAATGGTTCTCTTAAGGGAGTGCTTCTACAACTTGTAAACTGATATTGCACATAGGAAATATTTGTGCCAATTTTTTTGTACAATTATGTGTGCACAGGGGTAAGGGAGCCTCTGAGGGCTGAGGGGGTCAGTATTTCAAGCATACTTACTGTGAATTCTTTTAAGATGACTGAGAGGAAAAATAGACTTAAGTCTTAGACATTAGCAAAATATAATTCAAATATATTTAAAAATTTTTTCAGAGATTCAAGCGTTTGAAAAGACATGCCCAGAGCAGGATGAATTTTGAACTAACCATATAATAATGACCATTGTGTTAGTGTGCTTAGAAGGGCAGCCCTTCAAGAAAAGAAGTGAAATAATCTATGCTTTTCTGTTTTTGTTTAGAATGGGGCTATGTTGTTTGCTAACTGTCATTACATAAGGAACATCTGTTTAGAAACTATCATCACATATATAAGTTACAGTTGAAAATGATGAAAGTAGATACCATTGAGTCCGGGGGAGAAGAAAAGACATGGGAATCATCTTTAATATTTAAAAACTGTCATTTAGAGAGTAGACTTATAGTTTTGCACTGGAAAGCAAAATCAGGATGGATACTCTATGAAGATGGAACTTGCCTCCTTTAGAGCTGTCCAAAATGAGAAAGGTCACCTATTAGGTAGCAAGCTCCCCTCTTTGGGGTGTATTTATATAGTGTCTGGTCACCATTTTTTAGGGTTTCCTTCTTTGGGTGGTGATGGAGGTTGTTTACAGTACAAATTTTTAATGATATATATATTTTTTTAGGTTCTTAATTTTTATGTTTTCACTAACTAGGTTACACTCCTGCCATTAAAGGACAGCTCTTACATGTTGATGCCACCACCAGCATGCAATACCGCACCCTCTTAGAAGCAGAAATGTTAGCAGTAAGTCTAGAGTATACATTGATATGTATACATATATAAAATATGAATTTGATTTTAATTTTTAATACAAAATTTTAATGACCAGGAAGTCATTAAATGGTTCACCTCATTCAAGAACCACCAAGTGCTCTTGGCCCTATTTTGTGAAGCGGAGTAGATTTCCAGTGCTGTGGACTGTGTTTGACATCTCTCTTTTGCTCTGCTTCTGCTTTTGGGCTAAGTGAATATAAGGCGCAGTGCTAACATGGTTTTGGTCTTTAGAAATATGAAAAGTTGTTACAATATTATTTTTAAACTTCATTTTATGACTAGACTAATTCCTATGTTGTAAATAAGATAATCTTTCACTATGTTTCTGGCCCCATTGGATTCTTTCTTATGGCTTAATACGTCATTTTGCTTTTTACTTGGTGAATGAGGTAAAAAGAAGAAAATTTTATTGATACCCTAGAGTGCTCCATATTATAAAGAATATATGAATGTTTATGATTAAAATCACAGATTGGAGACTTGTTTCATTAATCAGGCAGATTCTTTATCAGGGACACTAAAAATAATATCAAAAGCCACTATCTAGAATGGCTGATATTAAGAGAGGATTCTTTTATAAGATGGTATCATTGGGTCCTTAATTGTTTAAAAAAAAAGCATCTATATTTATAGATGATATATATGTAAAGTAAGAGGAGAATTTTACAATTACCAAGATTATAATGAATATCATAAATGTATATTAAACTGGCATATTCAGCATTTTAATGAATTCCTGAGCTCTTGCTGGTAAATAGTGCTGCAATAATGCTTTTCCTGGTCAGGCAGCTCTTGCCCAATTTTGATAGGTGTAATACATAACAAAGCACCATGTCAGATCAATAATTACCAAACTTCCAAATGGGAACCTGGGAGGCACTGGTGACCACACATCTGTGTGATAGTATATGCATTGTGCTCCACATCCCCAACCCTGAGACTCACATAACCGATTAGATTTAAGGAGGAATGAAGGATATTGGCTATTACTCTGTTAGTTTAGCTAGAGTACAGTATCAAAACTGTAGTCTGATTTGTTGTTCTTAAAGTTTTCTGGCCACATCATGGCTTAGTATTTCAAGGAGCTGGATGTAACCATGGATACTGATGTTTAGTCACATTAATATTAAAATCTTTGAGGGATCTTCTGTTCATCTCAGCAGGAAAATAAGTTTTAATTACTCACTAGTGTGTGTGTGAGTTTATTTCTAGTGCTGTTCACACAATATCACATTATAAGCTCTAACATTCTTACTTAACGTTTTGTTTGCAGTTCCACATCAATGCCAGTTACCCCCGAATATGGAACATGCCACAGACATGGCAGTGTGAATTAGAAGTTTATAAAGCCACCTACCACTTCATCTTTGCACAGAAGAACTTCTTTACTGGTAACTTTCTAATAAATGTAAATACAGTGAAATTTATCACAGTGAACTTTTTTATATTCAGTAAGTTTTGCTTTTAGATTCAACATGGGGATTTGATGATAGAGTTCATAGTTTATTTTACACTTCTTTTTGAGCTAAGCAATATAAAAGGGAAAATTTAAATATATTTTGTTTTTTCTTTTACCTCAAACAAGGAAAAGATGAACCCAAAATTGGGCTTAGGAAAAAAAATGAAAGAACTCATCTTAGGTGCTTTGTGTCAGTCTAGTGGGGAATAATTTGGGGAGGATGAATTAATTTCTTTCTTTACCTGAATTAGGCATCAGCATGGTTTCATTATTTTGTTTCAATTATTGTAATCTACAAAAGGTATATTCAAATAGTCAAGTATGTTGTTTTTTAATTTTTCTTTAAGTATGGTTGACACGTTACATTTGTTTTGGTATACAACATGGTGATTCAACAACTCTATATATTATGCTGTGCTCACCGCAAGTGTAGCTACACTTTGTCACCAATGATATTAGAATGCCGTTGACTGTATTACCTTTGCTGTGCCTTTCATTCTCATGACTTGCTCATTCCATTACTAAAAGCCTGTAACTCTCACTCCCCTTCAACTATTATCCTCATCTCTTTACCCCCTTCCCCTCTGGCAGCCATCAACTTGTTTTCTGTAGTTATGGATCTGTCTCTGCTCTTTGTGTTTGTTTGTTAGATTCCACATGCATATGGTATTTGTCTTTCTTTGTCTGATTTATATCACTTAGTGTATACCCTCTAAGTCTGCCTATTTTGCTACAAGTGACAAAATTTAATTCTTTTTTATGGCTGTGTAATATTCCTCTGTGTGTGTGTGTGTGTGTGTGTGTGTGTACACCCCAGATCTTTATTCATCTATTGTGGGCACTTAGTTTGCTTTGATTTCTTGGATATTGGAAATAAAGCTGCAATAAACATAGGGGTGCTATGAGTTATGTTTTCATTTTCTTTGAGTAAATACCCAGTAGTGGAATTACTGGATCATATGATATTTCTATTTTTACGTTTTTGAGGAACCTCCATACTGTTTTCCACAGTGGCTGTACCAATTTACATTCCCATACCACCAAGGGTATGTTATTTTGTATCTGGAGCCGCTACTTACTCCTTTCTGTTGGCATGGATATTGAGTTAATGTTATCGTTAGTTGGAAAAAATTCCTTTATTTCTTGAAGCATATTATAATAGCTACTCATATTATATGGGTAGGGAACATACCTATATGGGTGTGGGTTTAGGAACATGTTGTCTTGGTCTCTAACAGAAATATAACTACATAAAAATAAGTTATATTTATAGAACCTTCCCATAAAAAGTTTAGATAAACAAAATTGGCGTGATTTGCCAGGGTCAGTGGCTACCCCAGAGCATCTAATATTTGCTTTACTGACTGCTGCATTTATTGATCCATCCATCACTCCCTCTTAGTCATCTGATTAAATATCTATATTACAAGCATCTGATCTGTTCTGTGTACTATTAGATAATTAGGGATTTAGTATTAAGGTATTCATAGATAGTCTGGCCCTGACTTTATTTACTAGCAATATAATGTTGGCCAAATTATCTAATTATTTAACCTTCTGTTTCCTTATCTGTGAAGTAGAGATAATAATTTCTACCCTAATTTTGCTATTGCTAGAGTTTGGAAATTTTATAATGCCATTATTACAATTTGTTCAATCGTAAGTCTTTTATATTCGTTTTCTAGTTTGACTGGGAACTTTGTTATGAGGACTTGATGGAATGCTTCTGCATTCCTGGAGTTATAGAATTCTTCAAGGCTTAAGTCAGAGTGCCAATAGTAGAAATTATAACAAAATCCCTGGCAAGTTAAACTTTTCTCAGTGAAGTTGAACATTGACTAAGTACTCCTCAATTCAGATTTATGAAAAAAAAATAGTTAAAACTTAATAGTGCATCTTATATATCTCTGTTCTAAGAAATTTGCATATTGTTGAATCCTTATAATAATTCCTGAGATCGATATTATTGTTATCCTTGTTTTACAGATGAGGAAAGTAAGTTACAGTGTGGTCAAACAGTTTGTTCAGGGTCATACAACTAGTAAGTCTGTCAAGCTAGTATTCCAACCCAGGTAGTCTGGCTCAAGAATATGTTATATATATAGCTTCTTCGGCTGTAGCCATTTCCCTTTCACTTAAGATTTTGTATTTTTTAACTTTGCTAAGCTTTTATTTAAAAAAAAAAAAAAAGTTTATTTACTTTGAGAGAGAGAGAGAGAAAAGAGAAAGGGCAGAGAGAGATGGAGAGAGAGAACCCTGCACAGGCTCCATGCTGTCAGTACATAGCCCAATGTGGGGCTCCATTCCATGAATAGCAATATTATGCCTTGAGTTGAAATCAAGAGTCAGATGCTTAACTGACTGAGCCACCCAGGCATGCCACTTTGTTAACCTTTTAAAATAGATTCCTATTTTCAAGCATTTAATCCTTCACATTTCACATTCTTAGACATTAGCAGTACTAAAAATAGTTTGATTAGATTATTCCTCAAGATACAAAATTTTTAATTTTGGAGTAACACTTTCGTTTAGACTGAGCATTGTATTAGTCACTTTTAAACAGCCAAGTACACATTTCACAAATTACAATCATCTTTTCCCTAAATTATTTTCTTTATCTCTAATCTTTAACTTCATACCTATTGCAATTCATTTTTTTTTTCTACAATTTATTTGGAGAAATTTAAAGAAAACAGAAAGGTACAAAACGTAAGTTCTCATATCGCAGAGTTTATAGCTCTAACATTTAGTCATATTTCTTCTATTGCTTTCTAGAATCCTTTAAAAACTAATTTATTCTTTAATAAGGATGACTATTGTAGAGTAGTATAGGTTTAGCCTGGGAGTAAACATACTTAGTCATAGTGTTTGAATTGCTTTTCTCTTCACTCAGTTTTATATTTCCCTATTGACAGAATTCTGTAGAAAGCACCTTATCTAATTTGGAATGAGGGAATGCCTGATATTCCTCAATAACCATTCTTAGGCCAATTATTAGTGAGACATAGTTGTTCTTAAGAGATTTCAGCATGGGACAAAGATAGCTTCATGATAAGTATAATAAAGAGTCTCAGGAATAAAAGATATAAAACAAAGGCACAAGTGAATTCTGTTCTGGTAACATCAAAAGTGATTTAGATTTACTCTGATAAGAGGGAGAAGAAAACAATATTAACAATTATTGCAAAGCTGCAATACAATTGACTGACATTTCATAGGGTGTTTGTCCAACAACCTAATTATAAAGTGAGTTTTTCCACATGAACATTTAGATTACCAACTTAATAACTTATTTTTTTAAATTTTTATTTAAATTCCAGTTAATATACAGAGTAATATTAGTTTCAAGTGTACAATATAGAGATTCAGCACTTTCATACAATACCCGGTGCTCATTACAAACTTAATAACTTATAAAAATGTGGTGTCTAAATAAGTAAAGCAGTCCTCATGAAAGTGCTTCCTTTTTTATTTTTATTATTTTTTTTAATGTTTATTTTTAAGACAGAGATAGAACATGAGTGGGGGAGGGGCAGAGGGAGAGGGAGACACAGAATCTGAAGCAGGCTCCAGGCTCTGAGCTGTCAGCACAGAGCCTGACATGGGGCTCAAACTCACAAACCATGAGATCATGACCTGAGCCAAAGTATGATGCTTAACTGAGCCACCCAGGCACCCCTCTGCCTTTTTTAAATTAAATTATTTCATAAGATCCATCTGCTAATGAGAGCAGCTTTTGGTTTAAAGAGAAATATATAGGGGCATCTGGGTGGCTCAGGTGGTTAAGCCTCCAACTCTTGATATCAGCTCAGCTCTTGATTTCAGTATCCTGAGTTCAAGCCCTGCACTGGGCTCTGTGCTAGGGTGAAGCCTACTTAAAAAAAAAGAGAGAGAAATAGCAGTAGAGGCTCCTAGTAGAAATATTTTATTACCATAGTTCTTAATATTTATGAGTAAAGGTATTTATTTGGTGGTAAGGTAACCATATTGAAGAAAACCTTGAAATTTCAAATAAAATATTGAAGAAAAAACTAATAACACTTGATGAGATAGAAACTGGCTAATAACTTTATATAAAACTACATTGGTTTCCTGAGGTGATTATTGGATTATCTGAGTTTATGTTTGTTGGACTATCAGTATATCTCATTCTTTTTTTTTTTTTTAATTATAAAATTTAATTTATTTTTAAATTTACATCCAGGTTAGCATCTAGTGCAACTTGATTTCAGGAGTAGATTCCTTAATGCCCCTTACCCATTTAGCCCATCCCCCCCCTCCCACAACCCTTCCAGTAACCCTCTGTTTGTTCTCCATATTTAAGAGTCTCTTATGTTTTGTCCCCCTCCCTGTTTTTGTATTATTTTGCTTCACTTCCCTTATGTTCATCTGTTTTGTATCTTTTTTAAATTTTTTTTTTTTTCAACGTTTATTTATTTTTGGGACAGAGAGACAGAGCATGAACGTGGCAGGGGCAGAGAGAGAGGGAGACACAGAATCGGAAACAGGCTCCAGGCTCTGAGCCATCAGCCCAGAGCCCGACGCGGGGCTCGAACTCACGGACCGCGAGATCGTGACCTGGCTGAAGTCGGACGCTTAACCGACTGCGCCACCCAGGCGCCCCATCTGTTTTGTATCTTAAAGTCCTCATATGAGTGATGTTATATATTTGTCTTTCTCTGACTAATTTTGCTTAGCATAACACCCTGTTCTTCCATCCACGTAGTTGCAAATGGCAATATTTCATTCCTTTTGATTGCTGAGTGATACTCCATTGTATATATTTACCACATTTTCTTTATCCATTCATCCATTAATGGACATTTGGGTTCTTTGCATACTTTGGCTATTGTTGATAGCGCTGCTATAAACACTGGGGGTGCATGTGTCCCTTCGAAGCAGCATACCTGTATCCCTTGGATAAATCCCTAGTAGTGCAATTGCTGGGTTGTAGGGTAGTTGTATTTTTAGTTTTTTGAGGAACCTCCATGCTGTTTTCCAGAGTGGCTGCACCAGCTTGCATTCCCACCAACAATGCAAAAGAGATCCTCTTTGTCCGCATCCTCGCCAACATCTGTTGTTGCCTGAGTTGTTAATGTTAACCATTCTGACAGGTGTGAGGTGGTATCTCATTGTGGTTTTGATTTGTATTTCCCTGATGATGAGTGATGTTGACCATGTTTTCATGTGTCTGTTAGCCATTTCGATGTCTTCTTTAGAGAAGTATCTATTCATGTCTTTTGCACATTTCTTTATTGGATTATTTGTTTTTTTGGGTGTTAAGTTTTATAAGTTCTTTATAGATTTTGGATACTAGCCCTTTATCTGATATGTCATTGGCAAATAACCTTCTCCCATTCCATCAGTTGCCTTTTAGTTTTGCTTATTGTTTCCTCCACTGTGCAGAATGTTTTTATTTTGATAAGGTCTCAATTATCATGCTCTTGTTAAAGATGGCTAGAGTTTTCTTTCAGCAGAGAGGATACCAAAGAGTATACTTATTTTAGATAGGGTGAATATGATGAACTTGAGTAAAAGTTCAGAACTAAAAATATTTATGAAGAAGAAAAGTGAGAAAATAAGCTTGATGAATGATAAGTTTATATTGTAGAGTCAATTCCATTGATGACTTTTGGGTATCTCTCAATTGCTAACCATTGTGCTGAAGAATAAAGTAAGAAAATTGGGATGGAGTCATGTTAGGTAGGGTGGCATATGGCAGTAAAAGTTTAGAAGTAAGCATAGATAATGCAGTATGATGAACCACTGTGATTGCTTGTTAAGTGAAGTAAAAATATATTTAAAGTGAAAGTGTCAAGTGGAATCTTCCTTTATTCATAGAACAGATTAATTGCCATATGCCTTTTATTGATGATATAATAAAACTGCATATTATTAATTTAAATCATTGGCATTTGTAAGAACTTTAAAAAAAAACTTATAAACTTTTGACCTAGTCATTCTACTTCTGGAATCTATACTAACAAAGTAATCCTGAATATGTAAAATATCTTGCATGAGAATAGAAATAAAATTATATAAAACACAAAAATTTGGAAAGGAATCTAAATATTCAAGATTATTAAATGGTTGAGTAAATCCTAGTAAATCTCTTTAATGAACTCTCATTAAAATTTTTGTTAATGTGAATGGAACTGGAAGGTATTATGCTGAGTGAAATAAGTCAGAGAAAGACAGGTATCATGTTTTCACTTATATGTGGATCATGAGAAACTTAACAGATGACCATGGGGGAAGGGAAGGCTGTAAAAATAGTTACAAACAGAGAGAGAGGGAGGAAAACTACAAGAGACT